GGTGAACCTGGACCAGCCGGAGCAAAACAGACGTCATCGAGCGTGAGGTTGTTCGGTGTAGAAACGAGATTCTGCCGGATATGCGCTTCGAGTTTAAATACGTATTGAAGATGCTCGAACGACAGCACGGGGTGGGCCTCCTGGTCGACTGAGGTAATGAAAATCTGTTGAGGACGATAGAAGGGCCCGAAATGTTCGTCAAAGAAATCCTTCTGGACACGCGTTTCCGAGTTTGGCGCTACCCAGAGCCGAACAGGGTCTGTCTCGATGTCGAACTTTGTCCAGCCAATGTTTATGAGGCCGATGATAGTGAGAACGATAGCACATGTGAGCATAGGATATGAAGCAGTAGTGAATCCGAGTTTGTAGAAGAATTTCCGGAGAAGAGCGTTCAATCTGTATTGCTTGGGTTGCACGGTTTCCACTGGGTCAAGAAGACCCCGAGCGAGACCAGCATTATGATCGTCTAGTGACGCAGCACCTACAAGGGCGCGCGGCGAGGAAGGGGTTTCACCGGATAATGCTAGACGTTCGTACCGACGTTCCCGACGTTTGCGAATGGTTTTCTGAATGAGGAATCCCACTAGGAATCCCACTACCGCGATTGAGTAGGTAAGAATGAGGGTGAAAGAGAGACAAGAGAGTACTCCGACATGACATATTGAGTCTGTGTCAGGAAGATCTGGGAGGACAGGACAAATGGATGGGCAGTCAATGCATGTACACCGCGAACCGAGGTCATTGTCACTGCAATTACGCGGAGGAGGGTCAAGCGGCGTGAAAGACGGAGTTGAAGTGGATGGAAAGTTGATTTGGAACGGGCTCCCTAGATCCTTTTCCTCTCCCAGAAACCGAAAGAAGTCATGATAGTTCTTGGCTCCTCCACCAATGAAATCCATCGCATACCCATTGCTGGCATCGAACTTGACATTCTTGCAACTATCGAAGAAACCCTGACTGAACTGAGGTCCAACATAGAAGTCTACAGACTTGACGGCGACCTGGTTGGTCTTTGTCCTCTGTGTAGAAGTGACGTTGAGAAATGTGCCTTGATTGGGTGAGCAAGTAAACTTGCAGAAGAAATCATGAAAGTTGTTCTTGCATGCTGGACAAGATGAGACGATTTTGTCTACTATCCGGAAATTGTCCTCTAAGGTCTCAAGCTGATCATTGGTGCAGCATACCGGTCCTGAGTAGAATTCTGGCCCACAAACGTCTAACAGAAGCTTCCGCGTCGAGGAGGAAGGCTAAGAGAAGGTACGTGAAAGGTCATCCTTGTCAGAAAAAACGTGTTACTCACCTCCTGAGGTGGACCATCATAGGGACATGGAAGTTGTTTGCCGAATAAAGTCTTGCTTCCGCAAGTATCCCGCATCGCACATCGTTGAGGATTATCCGACATGGTGGGAAGCAGCAGCCTGAGCTTGACCAGTAAAGTGGTAGCCTGGCTGACCGCAATGTGGTTCAGGCAGACGTTGTCGTTGTAGCCTGTAGGAGTAGTACAGTGAGAGAGCAATTTGGGTAACCACGTGGATCTTTTCCTAATTCGTATGTTGAAGCGCCCGTCAAGCGCCCACTCATGCATCAATGATCATGGGACCAGCGCCTCTTGTTCTTCTCCTTGAACCTGAACTCCTCCAACAACCTCCTGAACACGGTGAAATTCAACTAGGCACGACACGATTCCTCATTCGTGTCCTTCGTACTAATTCGTACCTTTCTGCTTAGGATCCCCGCGATCACTCTATAGCATTGGTTATTGTCTCCATTAGTCTCCGTTGGTAGTCCTCTTGGGCTTCGACGCCATGTACGACTGCGCATCGCGCCTATAAACGCGACGAGCACGTAGGTATCCATACAATAGGATCAGATATCCATAGTGTCCCTCTGCACGTCGTGAATTATCTCCTCGAGCGCGTTAAACTCATCCTCCATGATCCCAAAATCTCGATCGACGTTATCACGATGATCAAGCCAATTGGCAGCCACTTTGCCCATGTCAATTCTTTGTCTCATCTGATCCCCTCTTTTTCGGGCATTGAACTCCAATGAGGCCAAACTGGTAGGTCGTCAAACGCCGTATAAAACGACAGTCTTGCAGCTCTTAGCTCTTTCCGCTGAAAATTGGTCGGATCCCCTCTTCAGACTCGAGGTCTAACTTATGTCCTTCTACTCCTCCTTCCCGTTGCGTTTCTTGAGCAACCTGTGTCTCGCTGTTGTGGTATGCGGGGCTAACACTGACGTTCTTGATCGCAGAGACAGTATGTTGACTGTCGGACACGATACCGACCTCACCATTGTCAACTCTTTCATCAGCCCCGATGGATTTTCTCGCTCAGCTGTTCTTGCGGATGGTGTATTCCCTGGACCTCTCATTGTCCTCACCAAGGTATGTGTGTAAGCCTTGACTTTACGCTTCAACACTCATGGGCATACTAGGGCGACCATGTTCGAATCAATGTAGTCAATAAGCTTACTGACGAAAGCATGCTGAAAGTGACTTCGATTGTGAGTACGTTCTGTTGTAGACGTTCTTCTCCCTCATGCGCTTTCTCTCCAGCATTGGCATGGCCTGTTTCAGAAGGGTTCCACTTGGGCTGATGGGTGAGTGGGTTCAATCCTACCGCCTCGTTTCATACAATTCTCATTATTGACTTTCTGCTCAGAGTCAGCTGTGCGAATCTTCCTCACCAATAATCTGCTGTCACTCCTCATTTCATCCTATGTAGTTGTCAGCCAATGTCCTATCATACCCGGAGATTCTTTCTTGTACGAATTCGATGTTCCTGATCAAGCAGGCTGTGAGCCTAGCTCGAGTTCCTTTTCGCTCCATGTTCGCGCCTCTGAAGACACTGTTCCTTCCAGCATTTTGGTATCACAGTCACATGTGTACGTTGACGATTCTAGCAACAGCAATGACCTTCGTTCCTCCCTTGACGTCCTCGTCTTCAGCCGTCCAATACTGCGATGGCCTCCGTGGACCAATGGTTGTATATGACCCAGAGGATCCATACAAAGACATGTACGACATTGACGACGGTAAATTCAACGATCAAATGTTGTATCTTCGTATTGACGTTCATGTCTGAATACAGCATCCACCATTATCACACTCGCCGACTGGTACCACCTTTCTGCATCACAGCTCGCAGAGCTCCCTCCACCACCGCTGCCTAATGCCACCCTCATCAATGGACTTGGCCGCCATAAAGATGGCCCTCAAGTCCCACTCGCCGTCGTGGCAGTTGAGGAAGGGAAACGGTAAGTCCCTTTTAGTAGCTGGTCTTCAGCACTTAGAACCTCTCCTGCAGATATCGCTTCCGGGTGTTTGCAATATCCTGTCAACCATCTTTCAACTTTTCCATCGACCGGCATGATATGACAGTAAGTGTTTGAGTTCCATTTACTCAGGCCCTCATCACATACTTACTCTATCTTGTCTAGGTGATCGAAGCCGATGGCGAATACACCAGACCTCACACCGTTTCTTCTATCACTATTTATGCTGGTCAACGCTACTCGCTTGTCGTCGAAGCTATGCAGCCCATTGATAACTACGCCATCCGTGCCAATCCCAGCACAGGCAACAGTGGATTCGATGGTGGCATCAATATGGCTATCCTAAAATATCGCGGTGCACCAGAAACTGACCCGGATTACAAGGAACCAGAGAAGGACGATCGACACTTGCAGGAGACAGATCTTCATGTGTGTACCAGTTGTTCCTCATCCAATACCATGTTTTCAAGCGTTTTCAATGTCACTAGGCACTTGTGAATCCTGCTGTAGTAAGTCGTAAGAATTTCATTCTCGCATCTCTGACTTGCCCAATTCACTATTGATAGCCTGGTGAACCCCACATCAACGGTGCAGACCTTAACATCAATATGCTCTTTAGTACGGTGAGCTATCGTGAAATGCGGGTTTCCAACGTTCTTCTGATCTTTGCATTATCCAACAGGACCCCGACACAGGTGATTTCACAATCAATGGTAAATCTTGGGATTCCCCGAACGTACCGGTCTTGTTGCAAATACTGAGCGGTGCTCAATCTGCCGGTGAGCTCTCATGCCCCTCTATACAATGCGATATGGTCTCATACCTCGCTCTCGTTCTCAAAGCCGACCTTGTCCCAAAAGGCTCCCTATATCTACTCCCATTGAACAAGGTAATTCAACTCACGTTTTCGCCTGGGACGACCTCTGTCACTGGCCCTGTGAGTACATTCTCTCCGGAACACCACTTCCTTTCATCCTACTCATCATTCTGTAGCACCCATTTCATCTACACGGCCACTCTTTCTCTGTCATCCGCTCTGCCGGGAGTTCTGATTACAACTACGTGGACCCTGTTCGAAGAGATGTTGTTTCTACTGGTGCTGTAGACGATAATGTGACGATCCGGTTTACGACCGATAATTCTGGACCATGGTTTTTACACTGGTAAGTGCCGAAGGCTACAGTGGATGCAGTACCTTTTACTAACCGTTAGTACGCATTTCGCTCCCATGTTAATTTTTGCAGCCATGTTGATTGGCATCTCAATGAGTCAGTGTTTTCGAACATGTCCTGGTTCGCGCTAGTAATTCTTGGCCTTTGTTAGAGGTTTCGCCGCTGTCCTCGCCGAAGACGTTCCACAAACCGCATCCGAGGTTGTCCCAGGTGCGTCCACTCATTGCCATGGTGATCTAACATGAATAGCTCACTCATATTCTATTCGCAGGTGCATGGAAAGACTTGTGTCCATCGTACGATGCTCTCGCACCAGAAGAGCATGGTGGAATGACTTGAGGACATTGCTTACGCCGGATAGTTAATACTATGTGATTACATTCAGACGTACCTTCAGAATGATCACTACAGTGAATGTCAACTTTGGACAATCATGTATTCATTGGACTCATCGTTTTTCCTGTGCGGCGACACTGTTGCTAGATTTCGTGACACAGGTGCCGGCGATAAGAGAAGGGGACAAAAAGACTGCAACGGGGGGCACTTTTATTCCGACACGGGGAATCGAACCCCGGGCTATCGCGTCGTACTATATGAGAGGCGATAATGTTAGCCACTACACCATATCGGATGTTATAAATTCCTTAACACCCAGTAACATATTCTCAAAAAGAAAGTAGAAATAGAATAATGATTTATGAATGCTCTGTAAGCTCTTCCTCCAACCATATTGCAATGTCCTCTCCCAACGTTACTCCCAAGAAAGATGCCAGCAAGCCTCGTCGTCGCTTCGTCGGCTCCAAAAACTCCAAACCCACCACATCCTCCGATCCTTCCAACTTTGTCCTCCGAAACCAAATCCCTGCTGAAATCCTCGAAGACCCCGAATTGAACTCCATCATCGAGCAAGTCCTCCCAAGAAACTACAGTTTTGAGATTCACAAAACGATTCATCATGTGCGGAAGAACGGCAGCAAGATGGTAGCGTTACAGATGCCTGAAGGATTGCAGATGTTTGCCTGTGCGATTGCTGATATCATCGAGAGGTATCTTTTCATCTTCGTATCCAGCAATCGTTACTGACTCGTACCTCATGAAGATTCACACCAGCGTTGACGACAATAATGGGAGACGTCACATACGGAGCTTGCTGTGTAGATGATTACACCGCTCTTGCTCTAGGCTGCGATATGTTGGTGCACTATGGACACTCCTGTCTCGTTCCCTCAAATCTTACACAGGATATCAAGACTCTGTACGTCTTCGTCGAAATTGGCATCGATTCGATACATCTACACCAAACAATTCGCGCTAATCTGCCGAGCGATCGTGACGCGTTCCGCGATGCTTTGATGTCGCTTGGGATGGGTGAAGAAGGTGAACGAGAGATCAGCTCTGGGGAGAGAATACCCATCGCTGGTCCGGGTCTGAGGATAGAAGCGCCGCCTCCTGAGACGGGGGAACAAGATGGCAAGGAAGTAGATGTGGTAGTTGCTGATACGAAGAAGAATGTGGATCCTACACGACTGGCTTTAGTATCAACGATCCAGTTCGTCGCTGCTCTACAACGGCTGAAGGAAGATCTGAGTGTACCATACACACCCTCAAATTCCTCGGGCTCCCTATGGACTTCCGAGTACGATCCCACCATCCCTCGATCAAAACCTTTGTCGCCTGGTGAAATTCTCGGCTGTACAGCACCTAAGCTGAACGAAGACGTCGATGCGATTCTGTGAGCTACTTCCCGTTCTCATGATTATACGTCTTTCAGCTTCATAACCTCTATTATCAGCTACCTCGGTGATGGACGTTTTCACCTTGAAGCGATCATGATTGCCAATCCATCTGTCCCAGCATTCAGATATGACCCGTACTCTAAGAAGCTCACTCGTGAGCGATACGGGCATCGAGAGATGAGAACGGTGAGAAGAGATGCGATTGAAGGAGCAAGGAAGAGTATAGGGTGGATCGAAGCTGCCAAACCAACATCTGGGATGGCAACAGCAGACCTTGCATCTACAAACAATGATGAGATAGATGCACCACTTTGGGGTGTGATCCTTGGTACTCTCGGAAGACAAGGAAGTTTCAGACAGCTACAGGTAAATGGGTATGATTTATTAAGTTCGTCCTTGCTTGATACCAAATGGTCTGTAGGCAATTACAAACCAACTCCGAGAATCCCATACACCTATTCCATACATGCCTATTCTTCTCTCTGAACTTTCACCTGCGAAACTAGCCCTCTTCAATGCAGGTCGACATCCATCCTCTTCTGAGGAACCTTCGTCAAACGAAATTCAGCCTTACTCTAAATCAACTTCCATATACCATCCTCGAATATCCACCTTCATCCAAACTTCCTGCCCTCGACTTTCAATCGATTGGGGGTACGCTTTCGAACACCCATTGCTTAGCCCGTATGAATGCGCGGTGGTGATGGGCACAGGGAAGGATACGAGATGGCTCGAGTCTGATCAAGAGGCTAGGGCGTTGGAAGAGATAAGTAGTAAGAAGGAGGGGGACTCTGAAGATGTATACTATCCTATGGACTTTTATGCTGCTGGTAGTCCATGGGCTGTATCGAGAGTAAAGAGTGTATTTGCATAGAAATTGTGAAGCGCCCAAAGTTTAAGCGCTCGTATCTGCCTGTGACATTGGTCACAGGCGTAACATAAACAATTTAGTTGCTTTTCTCTTTCCACAACCTCCAGTTCAAAGCTATGTCCGAAAGAGGCCGTTCCGTTTCCCCTCGTCCTTTGCAAAACACAAATGCAGATATCGACATGGACAACGGCAAAGAGACCGAACTCCCAGATGCCAAGGTTGTCATAATCAATAATTTGACGCGAAACGTTGTCGAGTCGCATCTTCGGACTGTGTTTGGCTTTTATGGTCAAATAGTAAAACTTGATTTACCACTCTACACCAAATGTTCGTATTACATGACTCTCTACCTCATCGTTTTACTTACAATGATCTCTTATAGCCGGTCAAAATAGAGGCAAAGCAGCACTCGAATTCTCCCAGCCTTCAGAAGCACATATCGCCGCTTCCCACATGAACGGTGGTCAACTCGACGGCGCAGTCCTCAAAGTCGAGCTATCTGATCTACCAGTTCGAACCCGCTCCCCTCGATCTCGTTCGTCCAGATCTCGGTCACCAAGACCCCCTCCTCGTCGGAATGGACGCGACAGAGGCCGAAACAGGTCTTATTCCCGTTCACCCTCCTCCTCACGCTCTAGATCACCTCCCAACCGCTACCGCCGCAAGGATGATGGTCCGGGATACAGAGGACGAGGATATGGTCGTCGTGGTCGTGGAGGCCCTCCTCCACCACGCAGAGCCCGTATGGGTGGATACTCTCGTTCTCGTTCGCCTATAAGGAGAGGAGGGCTGGGTCCGCGAAGGAGGTCTCCGAGTTATTCGAGAGGTGGTTATGGTCGACGGGGTCGGTCGGTCTCTCGTTCGCGTTCGAGAAGCAGGAGTAGGTCGAGGAGTTATTCTGTGCGGTCTAGTAGATCGAGGTCGTACTCGAGGTCGAGGTCCAGGACGAGATCGAGGTCAAGGTCGATGTCGTATTCCTCGGTGTCCAGGTATAGCAGGAGTAGGAGCAGGAGTAAAGCCAGGAGCAGAAGTAAAGGCAGCCGAGATGATATTAGGGACAGTCGGTCAAGGTCGCCAGGAAATTGATTGCGCTCTCTGGCTATCCGTGCTACATAGTATGTCACTGTGTGGGTATTGCCCTGACAGTCGTAAATTGCTGTAGGCTCCGTTGATGTTCGTAGGTAAAACGTTGAGGCCAACATTTTGGACATAGGACCTCGGGAAAAAAAATTTCTTGCCAAATTTGTGTTGTGCTCAAGATGGTATGTAGGCAAAGAGATTTAGAAATTTTGTAGGGGTTGTATTACAGCTAGTAATTTTATGTGAAGATAAATATGATATGTAAATGTGTTTATACGGTTAAGAAAGTTACTGCTTGATGAGTTTAACGTGAAGGAGAAAAATACAGAAGCCAAGGTCCGATTGTGTATAAGAGAGTAGAAAAAGCATGTACATAGGGGAACATTTGAGTGAAGGATGGACGTGTCAGGTGTAAAAACCAGAAAAAAAGAAAAACGATTGCGAGTCTACAACCCCTTCAACCGTTAGTACAACATAGATTGAGACGAATTACCGATAGATTAAGAAAAACCCAGAGGATCATCATAGCAAGACCCGATTAATGCATTCCACCTGAGAATGCTCTCAGGAAAACTTGCCCCAATTCCTTCTATAGTCGGTCTGGAAACTGAACGACAAGAACTTAATTCATGTCATCCAAATCCGTGAACCCCATCCCCTTTTTCCTCATATTCGCATACCTCCCCACACTCTTCCCAAAATCCTCAAACTCATCTTCCGTGACCCCCTCAAACTCGTCATCCACATCCACATAATCCTCATCATCATCATCATCCTCAATCTTCCGCGATGCAAACGCATCCGCATGCGACGAGACCGACTCCCCACCGCTATACGTGAACCCACGAAAGTTCTCCTGGACACTGTTCGTCAACGGTGTCCCCGCAGGCTGTCGATGTTTCTTTGCCTGCCGTCCTGCGGAATGGATGTCGATTCCGTTCGGGGCACGGTTGAGTGAGGATTTCGAAGATCGATTGGATTTTGTCGAAGCGCCACTTCCGTTCCGCGATAATCCGCCTCCACTGCGGGAAGATTTGTGCTTGGATGTCTTGTGAGTAGCGTGCGCAGTGCCGTTGGAGAGACCATTGGGAGACGTCATCGTTGTCATGGGTGAGATGGGTGTCATCGGAGGCGTCTTGCCTGTCTTCTCGCTTCCCAAAGGACCGTTGGGCATGTGGCCTCCAGGAAGACTACCTGCACCCAGACTCTGAGATACCCAGTTTTCAGAAGGATCGTCCTCGGCAAAATCAGCATAGTCATCCTCGTTGAGACCGACGTCAGCTATGCTCTTCTCCGTGAACTCGGGGTCGAAATTTGATGTGGATTCGTCCGACTCGACGATGGGTTTGAATGGTGGAGTTACTTTTTTCTGTGCAAGAAGGTTGAAGTCGATCGTTTTGAAAAAAGGATGTTCTTTGAGGTCCTGAGCGTCGCGATTGGCACCTAGGCGGTTTTTAGGATTCCTGTTAAGAAGCTACACCGATCATTGTTCAGCCAGACTAATGATTGGATAAAAAATATCAGATACTTACTCCCTTGACGAACTGTTTTCCATCCTCATTGATGACACCTTTCGGGAACCTGATCTTCCCAAAGCAAATATTCCTATACATCTGCTGCGTGTCCTCAGCATAAAACGGACTCCATCCACAGCACATCTCGAACAAGAGAACACCCAAACTCCAAAAATCAACAATTTTCGAATACCCGTGCTCGTCCAAGAGTATCTCTGGTGCCAGATACTCCGTCGTCCCACAGAACGTCTTCGTTAATTCATCCGCAGGCAGATTCGCCTTGGATAAACCGAAATCGCAGAGTGCAACATGGCCTGTTGCATCGAGCAGGATGTTCTCGGGCTTGAGATCGCGATACACGATATCATATTTGTGTAGATGTTCCAGTGCCAGAACCAATTCAGCGACATAGAACCTTGCCCGCTCTTCT